GGGGCGGGGAGGAGGAGGAGCAGGAGAAGGAGGAGGAGGAAGGGTGCTACCGGCTGTACCCCGGGCACATCCCCACCAGCCCCCTGCAGAAGGCGCTGCTGGCGGCCGGTTCGGCGTTCATGGCGCTCTATGACCCCTACAGACACGGTGAGCCGAGCCAGGGGAGTTTGTTCCACCCGAGGTTCTCGTTAACGTCCAGCAAATCCTGCCCTGTGTCTCCTGGGAGTTTCTCAGGGGACTTAATTTCTCCTTCTGGTGGGTCATGGGGCAAGTGCAGGGCTGAGACCTGGCCCCAGGCAGGAAGCTGTGGAAGAGAGGGGGTGAGGAACCCCAAACACCCCCCAGTGATCTCCTCCTGACCCCCCTATGATGCCACCCAACCCCATCTCATTCCTCCTTGGTCCCGCAGGCCTCACGCCTGCTCCTGCATCCCTCCCTGCAGGTGACACCAGTGCAGAACAGCCCCCAGGCTGAAGATCCATGCTTTGTGGGGTCCCTGCCTTGCCACAGGCTTCCTGCCTGCTCCTGGACAAGGGGGTCATTGCCCCATTTCCTCCCCTGCCAACCGAGGACAGGCAGGTGGTGCAAAAACCATTCCTGGGTCACTCTCTGGTCTTTCTTTCAGACATGGTGGCAGTCCTCGGGGAGACGACGGGCTGCCTTGCCCTGCCCAACCTGCGAGACAAGATGAAACACCACCCTGAAGGTTACCGCATCCTCCAGTGCGTCCCTCCGCATCCCTCCCTCGCCGTGTGGTTTGTGGTGGGGAGGGAGACACGAGGCCAAGCACATTCCTTGGGTCCCGTGAAGGGAGAGCCCTGCGCACCCTGGCTTGAAAGCAGCACGGGCGTTTCGTTAGCCCTAACCCTCCAGGTTGTTTATTTTACTTTATTTTTAACGATTACAAGAGCCCTGTGGCAAGTCTGAAGGCGAGAGCACAGCAGCCGCTGGGCCCAGCCCTATTTCAAGCGCTGCCGTCTGTCTGTTCTGCTTCGCTGCTGGAACTGGCAGGTGCCAACGTGAGGAGATGCCGCAGCAGGCGCAGGGGAGAAATCCATGGATGTGGTGGGTTTTCATTGCTGCTGAGGAGCAAAGCAAACCCACAACATCTGTGGATTTCTCCCCTGCGCCTGCTGCATCTTCTTGCGTTGGAGACTTGGTCTCCGCTGGTCTGCCTCCTCCTTAGACACCTCCACATTTTCTTTCCTGGTGCCCGCAGCATCTCCCCAAGCTGTGAAATGAGGCCACTTCTCTTGTCTTCCTTGTTAAGACTTGATCACTTTTCCTTCCTTGTCTTCAGGGACTTGTCAAGCGCAGCAAGGCTGAGGACTGGGAGAGACTTCATGAGTCTCTTGTTCACCAAGATCTTACTCCTTATTTGCTTGCCTTCTCCCTGCTCCTCGTCACATGTCACGCCTGCTGCTTGTGTATCATTTGGGTGATACCATGAAGGTGCTGGGGAAAAGCTGCTTTTTGCCATGTGTTTGTGCAGAGCCGCCTGATCCTGGCTCCAGACACTGATGTGGCAAAGCACACGGAGCACCAGGATGGGGCTGAGCCCCAGAGGAACTGCCCAGGGAGAGGGGACAGCAAAGGCACCGAGGGCTGAGGAGTGAGGTCCCCACCTGCTCCTTGCCCTGTGGTATTGCAGGGATTTGCAGTGGTCTCATTTGTGCTCGCAGATGTGCAGGGTTTTTTTAAGCCTCCGGGCTGCTGAGGTCCCTTTGACACCAAATACACAAGGAAGCATCTGCAGCCAGGGTAAAGCTGGTGCGAGTCCTGCTTATCTCCCTGCCACCTCCACTGCAGGGCTTTTATCATGGGAAGAATTTATCCTGTGCATGGAAATAAAAGGGCTTTTGTTTAGTTCCAGGGCTGTGGGGCACCTGTTTGCCAACAGCCTGGCCGTGCATGGCTGCCACGTGGCTGGTGGTAAAAGCCTGAGCAGGAGAGAAATTAAACCAGTGTTCAGAATGAATTCCCTCCCCTTTTTAGGGTTGTTCCTTTGAAGCTCTGGCTGCTTTGCAGGGGCGGTAAAGACCTGTGCTCCCCCAGGGCTGGCTGTTGCTGGGGGCTGTGCCTGGCCGGCAGCCTGCATGGCAGCGCTACGGTGCAGGGGACATCAGTGTTTTTCTAACCAGAGTTTTACAGGAGTGCAAGATGAGAGCTCTTTTATTGCCAGGGCTTCAGGTAGATCCTTTAAGCAATTTGTGTCCCAGTCTTGGCAACAGAAATAAGGATGGTGCTATCCCTGCAGCGAGCAGTCAGGATCGTGCAAGGAAAACACCCGGGAAGAGCAGAGGCAGTGGATGGGGGTGTCCAGGGGCTCCTTTTCTCCAGGACCCACCCCGCTGTGGGTTTCCCTGGGAGGTTCACTGACCTGTGTTTCACTTTCAGGGAGCGACCTCGCATCCGTCTCTCCACCCTGGACATGGCCAGGCTGCGGGGGCTGCCGGACGGCACGCTGGGCCGAGAGTACGTCCGGTTCTTGGAGGACAACGTGAGTGTGGGGTTTCGCGGGCTGCAAATGGCTGTAGCTGATCCCTATGCCGGGAGCATGGATGCACTTCAGAGGGAGATTGGAGCCATGGAGAAACCTGTGGGAAGCCCTCCGGGAATGAGGGGGAGTCGGGAGGATGGGTTGAGACGCTGGGTGTTGGACAGTGCTGGATTTGTCACCAGTGCTGTGCAGTCCCTGGTTTTTGTCTATGTAAATGACGCTGACCCCCGTCATTGGGACTGGGAAATGTGCTGGTAGAGGGGACCACATACTGCTGTGCACTAAAGAGTGAGACTGGAAACTTGAGTTTTGGAGGAAGCTGAATTGAACCTCTTCGGTTTTGCAGAAGGTTTCTCCAGATACCCGGATGCCGCCCAAGTTTGTTGATGATGAAGAGTTGGCGTACGTGATCCAGCGGTACCGGGAGGTCCACGACCTGATGCACACACTCCTGGGCATGCCAACCAACATGTTAGGTGAGTGGCAGCGGGGTCAGGGGGCTGCGCTGCCAAACCCCACTGATGATGCTCAGCCACCTCTCCCAGGAACGGAGCGGGTTGGGCCAGTTGGGCTCATCGATCCTCAGCCCGGGGAGGTGCGCGGGGAGGTTTGCATCATCACTGTCCTGCATCGCTGGCTCTGTGGTAACCGAAAGCCTGCGGGATGTCACCTTTCCCCGCTGGGAGGTGCTCTGCCCGAGCCCTGGGTGCAGGCGGCATCTGGGTGGGCAGGTGGGTGTTTGCTGCCTGGCAGGGAGGGTGGCACGGAGGGAGGGATGTTTCGCAAGCTCTGAGGGAAGGCAGAAGCCGAGGGTTCCTGGTTGCTCCTTATCTACTCGTCCCTGTGTCCTTTGCCCTCATTTTGTGTCTGACTCAATAGCAAGTCGCAAGTCGAGCCTTGCTGGTGAGCCTGCGGGAACCGGCGTGTCAGGTCTCCTACGCAGGCTTTGGCTGAGCTCTGGCGGCGTTTGTAAAAGGTCTGTCCCATGCTGAGAGATGGGGAGAGCCGTGTGTGAGATCAGACTTCGGCAATTGCGTTGCTAAAGATCTGCGGGGAGCCGGCCTGCCCGGGAGATGTTTCCCAAATTCGTGGGGCATCACCTGTGGGGTGCTGCTCCCCTGGGCTGTCCCTCTCAGGTGGGTGGTGCATGATGAGGCTCGTCCTGGCACGGGCAGAGGCCACGGCCAGACTTGGGAAGAATTTCCGAGTCCTGCCATGGAGGTGGAGGGGATGGGTGCGTAGCCATCCTCGGGAAGGGTCAGATGGTGCAGCCTGCATTGTGGGACCTGGTGGCCCTGGCTAGCCCTCGACCTGGGCACCTTACCCGCTTACGACCTCCCTGCTCTCCCCCAGGCGAGGTCGTGGTGAAGTGGTTTGAAGCCATCCAGACGGGGCTGCCCATGTGTGTCCTGGGAGCAGCGTTCGGCCCCATCCGTCTCAGCGCACGGTAGGCACTGGCACCAGCCGATGAAAGGAGTCTCTGCCCTGGGGACGCACCAGCCTGGGTGATGCTTGCCAGGGTCCTCTGGGGATGAAGAGGGGACACTGCTAATTTGCAGGAGGGAGTCAGTCAGGGATGCCTCGTGTGAACCTGCTGTTCTGTCCCCACGGCAGCGGTGACAGCTGGAGGCATGGCTTTGCGTGGTCACTGAAGCAGAACCTGATGCTTCGTCTGCTTCTGGCACCAAATCTCCTGTGCCAGGCAGGAGGAGCAGTGTCTAGGCCTGGCTGCCCTTGGCTGGGCACATGTTGAGGGCCAGCAGCACCCTTACCATTCTGGTGGCCATTCCGTGCCCCAACACACCTGTTTTGGTGGCCCAGCAGTTTGGGGAACCTCAGTTCTGGTCTTGGGTTTGCTGACTGTAGCCTTCCCAGCACACTCTCCTCTTCTGTGCCTCAGTTTCCCCTGTGAGAAAGGCAGGAGGGATGCTAGAAGGGTGGAGGGGTACATGGGACACATGGGTTTGGCGTCTGCCTGCAATGGGGACTTGGGGAAGGAAATCAAAAACAAAACGTGGAAATCAAAACTGTCACCGTCTGTGTCTTTTGTTCCAGAAAGCTGCAGGTCCTGGCCACCGAGCTGGTTCCCTGGGCGATTCGGAGTGGGCGCAATGCCAGCTGTATCCTGAACGTTTACTACGAGCAGCGCTGGGAGCAGCCAGTGGAGTCCCTGCGGGAGGAGATCGGCATCTTCCCTCCTCCGGCCGTTCGAGTGTGAGAGCTCAAGTACAGGGAGGGGACAGGGGATCCCTGCTGGCAGCCGTCCCCTGCCACGCTCCATCTCCTCCTGCCCGAGAGCGCAGCGTGGCTCTGCTGCCAGCCGCCACGGACCCGGGGGCTGAGTTTTCTCCTGCCAAGAGCTGGCACCCTCCTGTTGGTGGAGGCCCAGTGGCACCTCCCTGTGCCACGACAAAACTTGACCTTTTTTTGCTGTTTGCGATTCAGTGGAGGGATCACAAGGCCCACCGTGCCTTTGCCAGCTGGGTTTGGCTGCTCGGATCCCTCCACCAGCAGCGCTCCGATACTGATGCTCCAAAATGCTGGGATGAGTGGGAACTGAGCTGGTTTACAACACACCGCACCAAACCACCGCCTTGGCCTTCTGCAGCTCCGGGGCTGTGTAGGTAAATTCCTCCTCCCACCCTGCCTGGGAAGATCGAGGATTAAAGTCTTGGAGCCACCCTGGACTGGAGCTAAACCAGTGATTTACAGAGCAGCCCAGGGGCAGGTTTGTTCTGTGCAACAGTGAAATCCCATCTCATACTGGTGCCTAACGGGTCTCCTGATGGGTCATATGGGATGTGTCTCACGCCGTGGAGACCAGGCAGTGTGTGACTGCGTGCCCTTGGGAGCAGGCAGGGAAATACTTTTGGATATTATCCCTGCTGGATTGGCTGTTCCAGAGCCGATCCCAGGCTGCTGTGTCTCCCTGTAGTCCCTCCCCATCAAAAATGCTGAAAGCCACGTGATTGTGCTGGGTTTTCAATAGGAATCCTCCCTTCTTTAGGCAACAAAATGACGTGACTGGGAATAAGGGGCTGAATCCTGGGAGCACAGAAACGGCGGCTGCTTGCGCTGTGTCTGGGAGCTGATTGCTGTCTGAGTTAATTAAACGGGGCTCCAGACTGCCAGTGGCTGGAGTGCAGAGCTGTCAGATGTGAGGGCAGAGAGCCGTGAGGCTGGGGGCTCTTTGTATGTGTGGGCTTGCTGTTGAAATTCCTTCTTGCTTAATAAAATCCATGGTGGAGCTTGTGGTTCGTTATTCCCCTCCTTCCGAGGGGGCGGTCTGATGTGAAACCCCCATCCCGTTTTGACTCCAGTGGGGTCTGCTGTTCTTTGTCTGGCGGTAGCCGGCAGGGTACGTGCGTGGCCACGCATCCCCGGGGACCAGGGCACAAAGCCGGCTGTGGAGCCGCATCTTTCCAGCTGGGATTTGGGGATGCTGGGATGTTGAGTGGCTCCTTGTGGTTGCACAAAAGCAGGACAGGGGAAGAACGAGGTGCGGGGCAGGAGGGGGGCAAGGCTGGGGGCTTCCTAAAGCGATCCCGGTTCCTGGGGGAGGGAGGGGGTGCCCTGACTGCATCCTTTGGTGGTTCCAGGGGGGGAGTTGCGCAGCCACGGGATGTGGCATTGCCCTGCTGTGAGCTTCACTGTCCTCATCCCCTTCTGTGGGATGCTGGAACGGACAGGCAGGAGTAGGGGCTGATGGTGTGACTGGGGATTGGAGTTGCTCCATCCCAGAGGGCTGAGCAGGGGCAAAACTTTTGGGTTTTGGGGTACACTCAAGAGCAGATGCCAGGGCAGAGGGACTGGCTTCCTTCCAGCTTCCCCTGATTCCCTGCTTTCAACCTCTCCCTCCATCTGCCCACCAGTCAGACTTCGGGTTTTTCTCCCAAACCGGGCCCACGCCGCCCCTTGGCCTCCAGAATTATTTCAAGCAGAAAATAAAGGATATCATATAAATGCATCCTTCAGCTGCCAGTAAAACACACACAGTGGGGCTGTCCTATTGCACTAGTCAAGACGAAAGAAGTGTTTGGCTCTAAACCGACCCGGAAACGTGTTTTTCTGCATCAGAAACATATCAGAGCTTTGGGATGGTTAAACTGAAGGGCAGCAAAGATTCGCCGCTTCCAGAAGCCATGAGCAGCAGTCAAGGAAATGTGGGAAATAGTGGTTGTGGGAGAGGGTTTTGCTGCACTTTGGGTTATTTAGCGTGACTGTGCAGTGCTCGGGGTGCCGGCGGCGGTTGTGCCGCCTTTGCGCAGCCACGTGTTGCTTGGTGGGTTGGTACCAGCGCTACAGAAATGGCACGTAATGGAATTTTAAACTGCATCTGCTGAGCCGCATCACCTAACGGTCACCGCGGCTCCTGTTCGCCACGGCTGTCTCTTGCCGAGCCTGCGAG